TTATTATTTCATTTTTTAACGAAATGAAATGAAATGAATGAACGAACGAATAAATAATGTGCTCCGGATGGAGATTGGTATGTTTTGCACTTAAAAAAAATAAATAAATAAAAAATAAAACCCACAGACATTACTGCTTTCTTACTGTTTTTAATAATCTAATGTAACCAAAATGAATTTGCCACAATAATCCCAACAACATAGTAACAAATGTGTTCCGATATGGACATCTTGTGCGATTTGCGAACACTTCACTTTATTATCTATACTGGATAATAAAATTCACAACAGCACAAGAAACACCTGAATAAGAAATCCTGTGTAAATTGTAAAAACTAACAATACCATAAAAACCAAACAGGCGTTTATTAAAGTGAACCAGTGCAAAAAGAGTGCTGTAGGAATGCTTGATCACGATTATCGTAGCTGCAAGAACAAACACATGAAACTAATCATTAAAAAGGCTTATTCAGTTAGAGAAAAGCTGCAAGAGCATCGACTACATTGACACTGTACTTACAGTTATATAAGCTATGGCACTGTCTGAGTCCACTGCTCCATACTGGGCTGGGCTCAAATCCGAACTTTGCTAAAAAAAAAATATGTGGGAAAACTTATTCTGGCAATGCGGCATACTGAACAACTTCAAAAAGCAGTATCATTTGAAAACATTTGGTTGAAACAAAACATTTGGACCACCAAGCCCCAATCAGTTTGACAGCAGTGACGATTATAAGAGTAAACCCACATCTGTGATTCCAACAAGAATGTGTTTTATAAAAAACAGCCAGATAAAGTCCAAACATGGCAGAAATCAGCTGAAGGTTTTAAAGTTTTTATTATTTTTTTTTAAGATAAAAAGTGTTTGAGAACAAACACATTCTTGCTGGTGCAATCAAGTGCGATGATTGGATAAAAGACTGAAATCATGCAGAGCATTTTTTTTGAAGATTTTGATTGTTATTATGATTTGTGGTTTAGGTCCGATAATCGATCCAGCATCATGGCCTCAGTTAACCTCTGTAAACAACACAGGAGAGACGTGCTTCCCTGTCATGATGATAAAAAATGAACATTAGCAAAATTGGAAAAAAAAAACATTTAAAAATGACCTGAAGCAGCCTGCTGCTTGGATTAAGAAAAAAATAAAAAACAGGCAGGTAAGAATGACTGAGGTAGAGTAAAAGTCTCATTTCTCTCAGTTCTAGTCAGTGTTTTTGATCACAACACCTTTCCCCCCTGCATGTTCCATCTGAAAACCAAAAAGAAAGAGAAACCAAAAGAGAGAGTCCAAAGAGAAAAATATCCCCGCTCTACTGTACGTCTGAGGCATTGCTGTCAGATTGGAGGTAGTTGCTGCCTTTTACCCGGGTGTAGTGGACATAGCGACTTTCATTGGCGGAGAGGCCTCCGCAGGAGCAGAGACGACCGGTAAACAGGTTCTCTATGTCCTCCAGCTGTAAGCCTTTGGTCTCTGGGAGGCAGCCGTAGACGAAGAGGAGACCCAGCACCACCAGGCCTGTGTACATGAAGAACGCACCTGGACAGACACACGTTTGATTCAATTAAAGCTCGCTCCTCATCTCACAGCTACGGCTGAGCACCACTAACAAACAATACCTGAGCTCTACGTGGTGTTTCCTGCATATAAACAGTGTTTTAACACGTCCTCATATAAAAACACTGAACATTACTACATGTCCAACTGACTAAATGTGAAATAAATACAACATAACACAGAAATACTATTAAAAGTGAAACTAGGAGAGTTTTAATCACTGTTGTCGTAAGTAGCTGCTGTGTTGAATTCAGAACTCTCCTATTTTCCCACAGAGAACTCCCACTGGAGGGGCATTCCAGTTTAAATTTATGACTTAAAAGTCATAAATGTGTATCGGGGGTATGAGTGGAATGTGGCGTCCTTGTATGTCTTTGACTGAGTGGGGGTGAGGATGAGGGTGGGATGGTGCGATTGTGTATGTTTGGGTATTTGTCTGCGGTCTGGGCTGCCCCTACTGCTGGTTTATCTGGAGGCCCACTGCTGCTCGGCCCCCCGGTGGGGTGTGTGTCGGCCTGGCCTGGTGACTGCCTGCTGGGGCTCGGGACCTCTGGAC